ATGGGAAACATGTTAAACGCGTACAGCCCTTCAATGCCGAAGAAGTTCAGGTTAGCATCGAATTAGTAGAACAAACTGTTCGCTGTTTACGGGCTGCTGAAATTTGTCCTCTGTGCAGTCTCGCATTGTTGTTGCTGAAAATTTACCTGAGGATCAAAAGCATCAGACTCTGATGAAGATTTTCTCAGCTGTTGGGAGGTACGCTATATGCATGTCTGTTAGAACAAACAGTTGCCAGATGCAATAGTAATCCCAGGATTCATGATGTTATCTGCATTGCAGTGTGAAATCTATACGTACCTGCTATCCACAAGATGTTGCTGCAGCTGCTGCTAACAAAACATCAAGGATTGAGATGATTTTTGCTAATAAGGTCTGTACCATGATATTATCTACCGTGTGAATGCTTAAAGTTGATCATCAAGCCCATAGCTTTGTGATATATATAACAATAATCAGTTGTACTGTTTTTTATATTTTCGTTTTACTGTCTTTGTAGCTTCATGCTTTTGTGGAGTATTCAACTGTTGAAGATGCTGAAAAAGCAGTATGTCAGCTTGACTTTTCTATCCAGTTGTGCTTTCCCACTTATCCTTCATCACTAATAGAAGGAACACCCTATGACCTGTGTTGTGTATAGGTTGCTGAATTCGGTGGAGGGGGAAACTGGAGAGATGGGATTAGAGTTCGTTCACTGCTTGGTTGCCTGGTATTTTTTTGTTGTCCGTTCTGTGTTCTTTACTAAGTTGGGTATGGTAATGGGATGCTAGTACAAACTGTGAAGAAAACAATTACACAATCTTGTTATTTTCATTCTTTGTAGAAACATGGATTGGGCCAAGGAAGAAAAGGTGGAGACGAGGAGTATGCTGCAGATGAAGATGGCCCTGACACAACTGACCATCAACAAGACTATGGAACAGATGTTGCTGCCCAGAACTCAGAAGCACATTTTGATCATCAGGTTTTGCGTGGTCTTCTGGTTTCTTGTTGCTATTACTGGTTTAATCCTATCAACGATGGATATTCTGACGATGAATTGCATAGGCTGAAGATGGCACCCATGACAAGGGTGGAATGAGGCAGCAGGGGAGAGGGAGAGGACGTGGAGGCAGAGGCAGAGGCCGTGGCCAGTATTATGGCCACAACAGCCGAGATGCCCACCATCCGGTTGGCACTCCCCCATCGGAGCACCCAGTTGTTCCAAAACCGCCCCCAGGTCCCCGCATGCCTGATGGCACAAGAGGGTTTACCATGGGCCGAGGGAAGCCGCTCAACACTACCACTGATGCTGCAGCTAACCCTACCACTGACGCTGCTTAGCTGCAGCGTCTATGCCGGCGTTGGCCTTTTGCCCTGCTCATCAGTCTTTTGCAAACCGATTGCAGTGGTCATTTGCTCAGGTTCTAAACCGATTACTGTGGTGTGTTGGTTCATTTTGATGTGAGATCTAAAAAGAAGTAAAAGGAGAGATGGCTGGTACTATGGTACATGCGTGTATACTAACACAGGAAGTTTAAACATGTGAACATGTACTGTGATATGTAGCTCTTAAATTAGAAAGAAAAACATACTTTTGGCCAAAAAAAGAGATGAGGTTTTATCATCTCATTGTCTCTAAAGCTCCAAAAATCTTCGAAGAGAGGAGGTTTTATCATCTCATCGTCTCTAAAGCTCCAAAAATCTTCGAAGCGTGTTTTAAGTTGCAAGCCACAATTCCCCCAGAAGCGACCGGCCACTAGCCAGCGACGTTTCGGTTTTTGGCAAGACAGTGCCTGTGGAAAGAATGCCAAAATTCAGAAACAGTGTGCAAAGACAGCAGCAACTGAACGATTTGACATATAGGTTCGTCCAATTCTGTTTTTACAAGGTTCAGCAAACGCATGGGCACCATATTACAGAACTGTGCAAATGGCTTTAGAAAACTAAACTGCAAGCAAAACACACGATGAGCGTGTCTATTACACGGTTACACCCATGATTTCCCATCTGCTTTAGGTATGCCCCTCATCAGTGGTGCCCTGCCTGCACGGCCACCCGTGCTGGAAGGAGGCTCACCGCCGGCGCCACTCCCAGCTACGTTCGTCCCTCTCGGCGGCAGTTCATTCCTCCTGTCCTGTAACAGCAGCTCCGACATCGTCACGCCCCTTGTCGCAGCCGGCGGACATGACTGCCTCGTCGCTTTGCCATTCTTCTTCTTGACATCTACGCCGGACCCAGGACCTTTGCTCTGAGCACTCACCACCGGTGGAGCACCTTTGCTTTGAGCACTCACCGCCGGCGGTGGAGCTTGGCGCCGGAATATCGATCTGGCAGTTGTGATCAGATTCTTCGGTGCCTTGAAAGGGAGTTCTTGGTCTGCCACTCCCTTGACCGTGCTTGTGTTTGTGCCGCTGGCTTGGCTTGCATAGCACCTCTCCGAGTGTTTCTTCGTACCTGGAACAGCTGCAGCTGCTGCCTTCTGCTTCCCATTCGTCGGAACCTTGTGGCTTGGTCTCTGGTCTGCAGTGCGCGGTTGCTTCTTCTCTTTGGAGACAGCCGGAGCGCCTTTGACGCAGGTTGTTTTTGATGAAGAGCTAGCCGTATGCGAAGCTGGTCGTGCCGATGTTGTGGCTCCATCCGGCTTGCCTGAGAGCTGTCATAGATAAAGATATCAACTGGATGGTATTCAACAGGTTGTTAAAAGAAATCTTCAAATACTGTTTTGGAAATGAGTAGCAGATATAGCATTTGCATTAGCATTCAGTATACCCTTGAAGCTGACGGTTTAACTGGATGAGGAGGGATCGGTAGCTCCTTTTGGAGTACTATTCGAGAGGAGTTGGCTTCAGTATCAAGGGAAGGAAACAGTGGTGCAGCCGGAGGTGTCATCAGCCTGAAACGAACGAACTGTTCTCCTGAGAAATGATTCCAGTCATGCAAGAATAATCTAGACTCGAGTTCGATCCTACCCTACCAGTCATAATCATGCTTCTCGTCCACTGGTATAAGGAAATCTCTCTTTCCTGAGGGAACTCTGCACACATGACCACCTAGTAAAGTAATATGTGTCACCAGGTGAGTGGATACACTTTAGGAGTAGTTGCACAAGATTTTAATAATTAACAAAAAAAAAAAAAACTATTTAAACCTCAACCCTTTCACCCTCCATTTTCCAATACAGAACTTCATATTTGTTCTCCTAAATAAAACGAACTCCAAATCCGTGAGCTTTCAGGAAAGAGTATTGAAATATGTACTACTGAAAATTTTCCCCAAAATCATGCCGACTCAGTTAGAAATTTTTTCATGAACATTCCTCCCAATAGCCATAAGAGAAAGGATCACAATAGCCAAACATCTTACCTTGGATAGCATCAAACTCGACTGAGTACATTGGTTCCAGGAGGTTCACATCCCTATACTTCTCGCGCTTGTACAGCTCCCTGAAGAAAACAACGCTCTCATCTTTGTATTCGGCCTGAACCACAGATGGAACCTTAGCCTTGCCCATCCCAGCAATTCTCCTCATGCGCTCCATACTGAACCTACGCTTGCTACAACAAACGAGAGGATCAAAGGTTTGGAGACTGGCAAAGGCTACATGAATACTACTCAAAAGATGCCAAATTTGCTGGCAATTCCAAGGCTTGCTGGAATTAACTGAAGAAAGGCTATATAAATATAGTAAATTATCGGTGAAAACGGATGGATCGATGCAAAAGAAGCTGAAAATGATTGACCAATTCAATGGGTTAACAAGCATTGTGTTGCTTTCTCGTTGCCCTATGGCAGCATAATGTCTTTTCTTTTAGTCTCTTCTGCTTGTCTAGCCTTGGTGGCCCTATCTAGGCCGTTTTGTTTTTTCATAATATATTACTTTTTTTAAAACAACATTACACATGCAATTAGGAGTTAAGTATAACCTACTCTTCCCATCTTCTGTCACATTCCATCAAATACAGAGTGTTAAAGACAAAATTCCCAATAACTATTTTCTGAACTCCCTTCCCAAGTGTCACATTGTCAGTAGCTTCCAAAGAATTCAGTTCCAGGGCATCTGGATGGATCCAACCTACAGATACCAAATATAAAAAAAATATAATCAGGGAGTAGCAATCAGTCTTGAGGGCAACAATACAGGCAGTAATGCAGAAGTAGTTCATATCTTGCAGTACTTACATGGATGATCATAGAGGCTGTCATGCTGTATGTATAATGCTCATCTTCTGGTGCCGTGCTTAAGCAACTAGTAGCTGGCAGACTATATGCTTTCACTGATGATCAGAACGTGCTCCTCTCCCAGCTATGTAATGTCATGTCACCATTCCGAAGTGCGTTGCATACCTGATACCTCTTCTTCTTGACAAACAGAGCAATGACACAGCTATGACAATGTATTTTTGTATACTAAAGAGCAGGCATTTCCTTCTCCCAGTTACATTAATCTCTTTACTCTTGAGAGATTTTTCCTCAGTCTTCTACTTTCTCTGGCACTTGTTATATGCACAACCAATCAACTATCCAACATTGCTGCACAAGGACATACAAACGATAAGCTCTATCTCCTCGAATGGATTTGCGTGGTTAACAGTTGAACAACAGAGTGGGGGGATAAAAGTAGCCCATAATGGAAATCTACCTTTGCACTGTGTTTATGTTTATCAGCAAGTCAAAATCCATTTTCGGCAGCCCATAACGGAATGATAACAATTTGCTCATTTTGATTTTCCTGATAAAAAGACAGAGCCTTGCAATGCAAAATAAAGCTTAAGGAGCAATCCTACAAAAGAACCTTGTAGTGGGGGCAATGTGGCGACCAACTCTCATCAAACCAACTTTAATTTGACTCTGACATACTGATACAATAAAGGATAAGAGAGTGAATATGCATTTAGATACACACAAATTGAGTTCTACTGTACTGTATATATATATATATATCTAAAGCATGAAAGGATGAATAATTACAGGATAATGGAATTGTGGTGATGCAGGAGCACACACACCTCAGTCAAGTGTCAGCAGAAGGGGATGAGCTTCTTCACAAACTTCTTTATGTTGGACTCTACTTCTGGAATGTCTTTACTTGAAATAGAAGAAATCAAGTCAAAGTACTCCCCACCTTGTCTGCAACGTCTCTGCAGGTCAGGGCAGGCTTTTATCTCCAGGAATTTGAGGGCTGGGAGCCGCTGGAGGAGACCCTGTGGAAATTTCTCTATCCCTGGACACTCTTCAATACTCAACCTCTCAAGGGAAGTAAGACCAACCATCCCATCAGGTAGTGCTTTCATCTCACCACAGTCCTCAATGGAGAAATGCCTGAGCTTGGCCAGATTTCCAAGGTTTGAAGGCAGAGCTACCAAACTGTTGCAGCAGCGGATCCCCATTTCCTCTAGGGATGTGGGCAACTTGGGAATCTCAAGCAAGCTCTCACAATGCTGTATCGATAACCATTCCAGCTGGGGTAGCCGAAGGATTTCTTCAGATGATGAGCCCTTCCCCTCCAAGTTCTTACAGTACCAAATATTCAGAGATCGAAGGCAAGGCAAGCATCGGAGCTCCTCCACTGGCCAGTGAACAATACTGGGGCACGATCCAATCTCCAATTTTTCCACAAAGGCCAAACAGTCTCGAAACCCAAGTTGAGATTTGGACAGGTTAAATATTGATACGAAATCATCCTCACCCAGGATTTTCAAACTCCGCATGGTGTCTAGAGGTCTTTGGTTTTGGCTTTGAAGGTCCTCTGGAGGCATCACCACCTCAGCCAGCAATCCAATGCCCAAGTGGACAAGAGATGGCCAAGAGCCCAAGGGCATGCTCACAGGAACAAGACCACGTGCAGAGTCACCTAGACAAGATAGAAGTGTGAGAACTGGGCTCTCGGGAAAACTTACAAGCTTATAGCAATGGTAGATTTTTAGCTCTTCAAGCATGGGAAACATCACTGAGGTACTAGGCTCTCCTGCACTGTTCTCTGCCCATCTCTCCAACTCTGGAAAATATTGTAACCGCATCCTCCTCAACTTTGGGAAAATTTGCTGAGAGGTGTTGCATCCTGCCTCTGCCACATCGATGTTCTTACATAATGTTGTCAGGCTGATCATTTCGGATAAATTCAAAACTTCAAGAGAAGATGACAGCCATACTATCGGTAAATCCTTGCATCTTGGGCACTCAGTGATAACGAGTTCTCTAAGGCACCGGAACATTTTAGGGTCTCTCATCCATTGCGACATAGCCAAGCCACCATACCCATGTAGCTTCAAAACTTTGAGTTCACCATGAGGAACAAGAGATTCCAGTACTTCTTCGTCTTTATTAAATTCCTCATTATCTAATGGATCATAATCTCGGTCACGGCCCCAATACAACAACAATTCACTTAGGTTCTGCTTCTCATGGAAATTGACTTTTGACCCACTCTTTACTTTGTTTAAATTGAACAATTCCAACCTGTTGCCAAGATATTGCAGGTCTTTGAGCTCCTCAATTCCTAAGTCATCTCCAGTGTCCACAATAAATGTTGTCAGTGTGCGAAGGTTCTGCAGTAGACCAAGTTTTGGTGGCATCCGTTCCAAACTATCACATTCCAAAAGATGAATATAGCTGATCTTCCTCATAGTTGTCATACCATCTGGTAGATACCGTAGCCTGGAGCATCCATTGAGCCACAATGACTGTACAACATACATAGTGAATTTGGCAAGCTAACAATCTTTGACCCAGAAAGATCAAGATACCTCAAGTGTGCCGTACTTATAAGCTGGCCATGGATAACAGAAAGACCTTCACAACATAACGATCTTACTGACTTCAGTTTTAACTCAAGATGATTGTGAGCTGATTGAGTTAACAAAGTATGGAGAGATGATCTGCCTTTTAGTAATCCATTGATTTCATTCAACTCATGCCGTGATACTTGCATGTGATATATATCTTTTATTGATGCTTTTCCTTGAATCAACTCTTCTGCAGATGCACATTCATCTGAAACATCTTTTGCCAGGTCATGCATTAAATCATGCATTTTACATATAATTGTCTCATGAAGTGTGTTACAAAATATCTTCGCTTTCACATCTTGAAGAAAGGACCTCCAAACCAACTCACTGAAAACAAATTCGCTTTTCTGTGCCAAATCCATCGTTCCCCCTTCACGAATATAACCATTTGCCATCCATAGTTGGATCAACTTATCCTTCTCCATTTCATAGTCCTTTGGAAAAACTGCACAGAATGCAAAACATTGCTTCATTTCCTTTGGCAAGTGTCTGTAGCTCAGTTTTAGGATGGACAATACTTCATCTGTGCCTCTACTGGTATCACTATTATAGCTTTCTGCAATGGCCTCCCAATCCTGGACTTCTTGTTTTGAACTCATCAAGCCACCCATTGTATTCAGAGCAAGAGGCAGTCCCTTGCACATGTGGACGATGCGTCTCCCAATAGTGACCAATTCTGGTTGCTCTTGTACTCCTTTACTAAATGCTTTCTTTGAGAATAAATCCCATGAATCATCTTCAGTCAAGCATGCTAGCTCCTGTGTTGGAAGGGTGCCCATTATAGCAGCCACTTGTTGGTTTCGACTAGTGACAACAATCATGCTTCCTGATCCTCCAATAGATGTGCACAGTAGTGGCTTAAGTTCATCCTCCCACTTGTCCTGCTCTTCATTCCACACATTGTCAAGGATGAGTAGGAACCTTTTCCGGCCAATGGCTCCTTGAAGTTGTGCTCTCCAGAAAGTGCTGTCGTCAGGCAGATCACATCTTTCACCTGTAGCCGATTCGATGATGGATCTCACAACAGAGATGGCTTCAAAGTTTTCAGTCACACAATGCCATATCTTCAAGCCAAATTGCTTATCAATCCTATGGTCTTTGTACACCATCTTTGCTAACGTGGTCTTGCCCACACCCCCCATCCCTATAATGGGCAGCACCTGCACATTCTTCTGACCTTGATGTTGCTGGTCAAGCAACAGCTTTACTACCACCTCCTTGTCATCATCTCTACCAAAGATTTCAGCAGAGCCATCCAGTACTACCTGTGTTTGCTGACACAGAGCGTGTTGCGCCACCAGGCGCTCCACCAGACCTAAAGTGTGCATCTCCAGGACAAGATCATCCAATTTCTTAAGAACCTTGCTCAGGTTCCTACTCACAGTGAGACGGAACAGAAGAGGGCTGTGAAGGGTCAAGTAACTTGATACCTTGCGTGCCATGGGCTCACCCTCATTGGCCTCACGGCGCAGAGCCTCATATTGTAAGTCGTCAAGGACGTCTTCTGCCTGATAGGCGATGCCCTTAAGTTCCTTCATCCACCTCCTGACAACGGGGCTGGTCTCGCCCTTCACCTCGGCGTCAGGCAGCATGCACTGAACCGCCAGCAGCAACCGCTCCAGCTTGCCACGGTCGGTGTCGATGCCCCACATGCGGGTGATGCTCTGAACGAGCTCGTCGGTGGCCTTGCCGGTCACCCTGGTCACCACAGGGAGAAGCAGCAAGTCAGCCATGCTAGTTACTTATTGCTCTCAGTCTTGTTTGCAGTAATGCAGTGCGTATCAGCGTATGGGTGGTGAAGGACCAGGATTCATGCATGTAGAAATAGCTGGGAAAGAACAAAGCAGGGCGGTATTATCATGGAATGCAAGTGCAGGCTATGGCGATTAATTTAGCGAGAAATAGTACAGAATATGAAAGCGATGCGCAATACACCACACATGTCTGTAAACAATTTTCAAGGATGCTGGTTAGGGATGATTACAGTAGGATTAATCCACCATGCGGGACAAGAAAAGCCCAACAGAGGAGATCGGCACATTAAAAATCTTCTCAGCGCTCGGTGGAGCAGCAGCCGTCTGCACCATGAGATTGGAGCCGGCGGAGCGGCCAGATCTTGTCCCTGATGATGGCAGCGGCGTGCCAGGAGCATGACAGCCGCTGTGGCAGGCGGCAGCAGTAGAAAAATGGCTACACATTGCTGGAACGATGGAACTTGGCGCGTGTATGGGTCATTTCTACAAGCACCCAACGTGCGTAGCCTGGCATAGCAAGGTAGGCAGAGAAGAAGTGCCCGACCTGAGGAGGGCAGCAAGCGCATCCGGGAGCGCCTCTGCGGGCGTCGGAAACCAGCAGGGGCGCGCACGGCGACGGCGTGGCCTGCCCAATGCATGGGTCAAGCAAGCTAGCATCAGTTGACGAACGGACGCGCGAGCGCGATACGACCCATTCACCGTGTAAAGTGGACGAGGGGCGCTCGCATTGCGGAGGCGACGCCGACCTGGACGTTTAGGCGGCATGCCGATTGCTGGCGGCGGATGAGCGAGCTCGCGGTGGTAGATGGTGGCTGGCGGCGGCACTGCGGCAGGGCAGCTCACAACCGCTAACGGCTAACCGCTAGTGAAACATCATTTCCCCCGTAGATTCAAAACTGGGCCTCGTCATGGCCCACCTGCTTGTCAATATTGTGGCGGCAGCGGTTGGCTGTTGGCGTGCAAATTCACAGCTGCCTGTGCGTGCTCTCTGGCCTATGCTCTAGTCGGTCACTATTTCTGTCTATCTATCGATAATACTAAAAAGCAAAAAATTCTGGCTTTTTAGCTTTTTTTTTTCGTCCAACCTTCCGTATTTTTTTTCGTGCCCATTTGCATTACGTTTCCTTACGGGTTATCTATCTATAATACTAAAAAGCCAAAAATTCTGGCTTTTTAGCTTTTTTTTTTCGTCCAACCTTCCGTATTCTTTTTCGTGTCCATTTGCATTACGTTTCCCTACGACCCGTTTCTATTTACCGTGCGTGGTTTGGCTCGCTCTCGTCGTGGAAGTCCGTGGGTATTTTCGATTTGTTATATCCGTCGGATCCATCGTAATCCTTGCTCCTCGATCTGACATGCACAACTCCTAGGCTCCTAGCCCGTTTCGTTGACAAATTCAAAGGGAACTGTTGACCTTCGCTAAAAAAATAAGCGAAAATACTGTTTCAGCTAATGTGTTATGAGAAAAAACACTGTTCCAACTAAAAAAATAAATAAAAAAAAGACGAATTATAAGAGAAGCGAACAAGACCGTTATTGCCTCTGAACAGAGTATCCAAAAGGCAAAAGCTGCGGCGATCAAAAAAAAAAAAAAGGCAAAAGTTGCGAGCTGTAGGATCAATCAAAGCAACCACACTATTGGATGAATTTCGCTGCATGCACACAATTGATTTGATGAATTTGGAATGTGTACACGAGATGCATACCAGGAGATCTTTTCGTTGTCATTTGCATTCTGTTTTGGTCTTTTAAAATTCTTTTGCTACAAAAAGGACACAACATGTTTTTCTAACAATTATTTAGAAGACCATAACGAGACTAATATAGACATATGGTTGCAATACTTTAAATAGCAGTTATGTTATCTTAACACAAACACCAACACTACCGGGAACAACTAATGAAAGACCTTAATAAAATAGATATAACAGCTATTGAGAGACAAATGACATGAAAACATATCATGTATTTTTTACTCGTAGCAAGCTTCACGTGCAAATTTGCTATCTAATATTGCTAAATCTATACAAAATGTTAAAGAGCCAAAATTTCTCCTCTTTTTTCGTTTAGCCCTTTCCTAACTAACTTCATGAATGTACAAACTATTCGTCTGTCTACAACTCTTATGTTTTTAACTATTCATCTGCCTACAACTCTCATGTTTTTTATATATAACATACGGTGTCTAATTCCAATATGTATTGGATTACGCCCTATGTATCTCACATGTGAATAAATCTAGGAGATACTCCCTCTGTTCTTTTCTACATGTCACATTAGTTTTGTCATAAGTCATATATTACTGTCTTTGAATATCTATATAAAAAGTTTTTATAATTTCACAACACATGAATTATAATTATAAAAGTATTTCTTATAGTGAAACTAAAAACATAAATCTTATTTCATGAATCTATATAATTTTTTTTTTAAAAAATCGATCGTCAAACATCTTAATGTTTGATTTAGGACAAAACTAATACGATATGTAAAAAAATGGAGGGAGTATGACATTTCGTATACTCTTGAAACTGAAACTTTACATGTACAAGACGAGAGAACGTAGCTACTTGATCCATATGGAAAAAACCCATCCTGGCTTCCATTTCAATTTTTCAAGGGAAGAAGACAGTGTGTGCATTGCTGGGGGTGGGGTGGGGTGGGTTGCGGGTCGTCAGCCTGGAACTGGAATGGACTTTTCTTCGACGATCCAAATTCTAACCAGACAAACACTCTATGGTAAAAGAGGACACATGGTAAAAGTCTTGCTCACCGGTCAAACTGACGTTTCTTGTCCACTGTTATGAGGACAATCATCACACACTGCTGCACAAGGGAAGGCAGACAATAAGTTTGGGCGCTCACAAATCACACTATTACTTCAACTCTAAAAAAAACAAATCACACTATTACATGGAAACCTTTTTTTTCTTCAAATGGAAACCTTATCACATTGGCAATTAACAGGTGACAGGTGCTCCACGAAATTTATTTGCATGGCTGCCAGTTTAGCAATGATTTTCAGTACAAGTATTAGAAGAATCAGAGTTCAAACTTACCTCTGCATGTTGTTTACGTTGATCAGCAAGTCAAGGTCCCTTTCTGTAACCTAGAACAGAGGAGTGTGCTCTTGTCGGTCATGCTGCTAAAAAGGCATAGGTTTTCCACCCAAAAGCAAAGTTTGCAGTTTTACACAGCAAATCCTACAGGAGCACCACTTTCCATGAAACCCAACTTAAATCTCCGAGTTGGACACACTGCACGACAAAAAAAAAGTATGGAGTGAATATAATTCAGTTAGGTCCAAACTGATTGTTCGGGAGAAAAAAGATAGGCCCAATTGAGTTCCATTGAATTGTCTTACTTAATAAATAAAAGGTATAAAAGAACAAATAAAACGATGATGAACTCTGCTAGATTGGTGATGGAACAAGATAGTGGGAGACATGCAATGCAATGCAATGCAATGTAAAGCAGGACCATACGTACCGCAGCTGAGACTCAATAGAAGGGAAGGAGCTTCTTTACAAACTTATTTTTCTTGGACTCTGTTGCTGGAATGAATTTATCTGGAATAGTAGAGACCAAGTCAAAATAGTCCCCACCGTTTCTGCAGCGTCTTTGAAGGTCAGGGCAGCCATGTATACATAGGTATTTGAGGGCTGAGAGCCGCCGAAGGAGGCCCTGTGGAAATTTCTCTATGCCTGGACACCCACTAATCGATAATCGCTCAAGAGATGTGAGGCCATCCATCCCATCAGGCAGCTCTCTCAGCCCGTCGCAGCCCCACATCCCAAGCATCCTCAGCTTGGCCAGGTTTCCCAGGTTTGAAGGAAGCGCCACCAAACTTATTCCGTAGGAAATCTTCATTTCCTCAAGCGAGGCAGGCAACTTTGGAATCTTCAGCAACCTGCCACAAGATGCTATCCATAACCTTTCCAGATGGGGCAGTGGAAGGATTTCTTCAGCTGATGAGCCCTTCCCCTCCAGGTTGGTACAATGCCAAATACGCAGAGATCGAAGGCGAGGCATGCATCGTAATTCCTCCACAGGCCAGTGGAAAATATTATAGCAAGATGAAATGAACAGTTCTTCCACAAAGGCAAAGCAGTCACAAGGCCTATGGCGCAATTTGGATAAATTGAATATTGATATGAAGCCATTGTCACCCTTTATCTCCAAATTTCGCAGGGAATCCAAAGGTCTTTGGCCTTGGCTCTCCTGGTCCTCTGTGGGTATCACTACGTAAAGGCATGTTCATAGAAACAAAAGCTCTTATAGAGTAACTGATACAAGTTAGATTTTTGAGAATCGGGCTCTCTGGAAGACTTTTAAATTTAAAGCAATCATAGATTCTTAGCTCGTCAAGCTGTGGAAACAACATGAAGGTATTAGCCTCTCTTGCACTATCTTCGGTCCATCTCTCCAAGTTTGGCAAATTATCCAAGGTCATCTTCTTTAACTTTGGGAAAATTTGAGCAGTCCTATTGTATCTTGCAACTTCCACATCAATGTTCCTATACAATGTGGTCAGACTGACCATACGTGATAAAGACAACTGCTCGAGAGAGAGTGACAACCATACTGCTGGTAGGTCCTTACACCGTGGGCAGTTGGAAATGCGGAGTTCTCTTAGGTATTGGAATATACGAGGGTCTCGCATCCATTGTGAGAATGCAAGGTCAACATACCCGTGTACCTCCAAAATTTTGAGTTCACCATGAGGTACAAGAGATTCTAGCACTTCTTCCTCATTGCCGAGCTGGACATCTATAGGAATGACACTTTCTTCGATGTTCCAATATAGCAAGAGCTCACTTAGGTTGTGTTTCCCATGGATATTGGCCTTTGACCCAGTCTTTACCTTTTCCAAAAATTTTAGTTCCAACCTGTTGCCAAGGTGTCTTAGGTCTTTGAGCTCTTCAATTCCAAAGCCATCATCCGTGTCCACGACAAATGTTGTCAGTGTCCGTAGGTTG